TTTTTATTTTATATTAAAATGAACAAACATCGGTATGCAAAAACTATTCATCAAAACCCATGACCAATTGCAATACCCAACATTCAATCAAGAGATAGCTTTTTTTAGAGACTAATAGAGATGAGAATTTAATTAGTTTTACTATACGAAAAGAAAAAAGAACAGCTACACATGTTTGATTTAGTAGAATGTACATACTCTTTAGATAATATAGAAGCATTGGAGTACCAACATTTTTACCCAACTACAAAAGATAATAAAAGCTTTTCAATATCATCGATTAAATCATTAGACTATTAAAATATCGAGTAAATATCATAGAACCTTATAATATCAATATCAATAATAACAATAACAATAATAACAAAACAGCATCTTCATCACCATCATCATTCAGTTTAAACAATAGTAATAGTAATAATTATACAACAGTAGCATTAGCATTCAGTTTAAAAAATAGTTATAGTAATAGGAGCAACAATACAACAACAGCAGCACCAGAACCTACAACATTCCATTTAAAAAATAGTAATAGTAACTATACTTTAAATAGTATTAGTGAATATAGCAATCTAAATAATAATAGTATCAGTTTAGCCCAAAGCGCAAGTTGTAGTAGTATAAGCAGTGTAATAGTAATGATATCAATGGGAGTAGCGGTAGTAGCGGTTGCAACAATAAAAACAGTAATATCTTTTTAATTGATAATGGTAATATAACACTCTCACCACCACCATCATCATATAGAAATTTAATTAAAATTAAGAGAAATTAAAATCACCAAATTATTTACTGCCACATAAAACTGATGGAGAGAATATTTATTTAAAGTTCACGTTTATCATTATCATCAAATACTTCGCCAGATTACTATACAGGGCTAAAAGTGTATCAACTGGTAATCATCTAATGAAGGGGATACCACTGGGACCGATGCGATTCAAACTAGGGAGAAAAATTTAGCTAAGTTTGACTAAAAAAAAAAAAATTTCTGAGTTTCCCCCACTCCCACACCCACCCACTTGACTAATTTTTTCATTTTAAAAACTTAGAAACTTAGAAAAAAAAAAAAAAAACTTAGAATTACATTATTTTTTTGTATGAAAAAAATTTAAAATTCTTGTAAAATTTTATTTAATCATTCCATTTTTGAAATATTTGAATAATTATAAAAGATAGAGTTTTCGACAATATCTACTCTTGAAATGTTTGCCCATTCCCTTAATAACACACATTGTTCTATTCTTTCCCAACCCAAATTTGATCTGTTGTCTACATGCAACCAACAACTTAGCACCCGAAAATGTTCTTTCAATTTCAACGGACGAAGAATCAACTGAAAGTACATTTCTTATGATTGATTAGAAGGTAGGATATTCAGTACTATTTTCTTTCCGATATTTTATTGTATCATTTCTATGATCTAAACTTTCTTCTATGTATTTTTGGATTTCTTTATACTTTGAAATATGTATTTGTTTCTTTTTTTTTTTCAATAAGCATTTAAATTAAAGGTTCATCTTAGTTGCTATATACCCTCTCTTTGGCAAAGTGATAATCTAGAGTATTTATTGTATCATTTGAAAGATTGTTTTTTTCTCTATATTTTTTTGCTGCTAAACATTTACCATCTATTAAAAATAAGATATTAGTATAATTTTTTAATCAATTAATTAAATAATAATATGTATACTTTACCATTTGTAAAATGATATCTAATGCTATGGATGTTGATAGCTTTTTGTCTAGATCTTAAATTGAATTTCTTGTGGTAATAGGTCTTTTATTTGTTCCTTCCATTGATATTAAGTTATTAATATTAAAATATATTTATTTTTTATAATTTTATATTTATTAATGTTATTATTTATTAATTTATTTTTATTTTTTTAAAATATAATAATTTTTTTTTTTTATTTTTATTTTTATTAATAAATTTTGATATTGATATATAAATGAAAATTTTGAAGTATTTATAGAAAAAAAATTATATTTAATTTATTTATTTTTAATTTTAAATATTGCGCTTAATTATATAACTGTTATATTGTAATAAAATATATTTAAAAATCCTCTTAACAATATTTATGTATATTAATAAAAAAAAAAAAAAATTTTAAAAAAAAATTAAAAAAAAATTTAAAAAAAAAAATAAAAGGGGGAAACAACCACACATTACTATATATATTAATTGATTATGATTTAACTGTTTTTTTATTGATTTTTAAACACCTTTTAAATTAAAAACTTTTTTTTTTGTTTTTAAAACTTAGAAAAATAAAAAAAAAACTAAAACTTAGAAATTGACTTTAAAAATGGAACTTATTGACCCCGAACTTAGAAACCCTTTTTTTCAAAAAATAATAAAATTTGATAATGATGAGAAAATAATCAGAGAAATAAAAAGAAAGATTAGATAAAGAAAGTATTGAAAAAGAAAAATTATTAAAACACCCTCCAACACAATAAAAATTTAAATCAAGTTCAATTTAGGGGCAGGTTTATGAAATATACAATTTTATTTAAAATATGTTATTTAAAAATTAAAAAAAATAAAAAAATTTAAAGTGTATATTTATTATTAGTATTTAATAAAAAGGAAAATTCTAAAAAATAAAAAAAATTATTTATGAAAAATTTAAAATTTTAAATTTATTATTTTATTAAAAAATTTATGATACTGAAAATATTTTCGATTGGACTAATGGAGTTGAAAATAATTTCCTATACTTTTTCTATTTAAATAATAACCTAGTAATAATCTGAGGAAATGGTAAACAATTGATGTTTTGATGCTTTGGAAGTTGATCATGATTGTTGGACAGATAGGTTCATTTCCTAGGTTTTGCTTTAAATACCAAACTTAAAATATGGACTACTAAATATTGTCCTCATCTAATATTATTTGATATTCTATCATATTTACTTGGCCAGAGAAAATTTGATAGATATAAATATTTGATTAGATCGAAAAAATTGATTATAGTTGACTTGATTAATTTATTTTAAGTTGGTTAAAATAAGCTTTATTGTTGAAACTATTTAAAGCAATGTGATGAATCTAATAATTGTATGATTGCTATCATTACAAATTGAAACTATAATCTATTATATTATTATTTTTTTTTTTTTTTTTTTTTTTTTTATTATATCGAAGTCTTGTTGAAACGAAATTGAAAGTATTGGAGGTCTAACAACCTAGTAAAGTATTTTTTAAAACAAAATTATTCTTTTTCTTGATTATTTTAACTAATTTCTTGCCATTGAAAAAGTTATTGGAACTATATCATTTGGGGTTGCTTTTATTAAAAGATCAATTTCTACCTCCATAACACCGAAAACTCTTTTGGATTGAACATAGGGACTAATATATATTTAAACCTTTTTGGAAAACTGTAAATTTAGGACATAAACTATTCTTTACTACTGGGATGACAACAAAAAACTTAATTGAAAGAACAAATAAGAACTCTTCATAAATAACTTTTAAAACATTTCTTTGGTACAACTATAAATTTCAACTATAATATTTTTTCTTGGTTATTTCTAAAAGTATCTACAAAAATAACGTTTTTGTTGTTGTTGTTGTTGTAGTTGTTGTTTTTTTTGTTCTAGTTCTTGTAGATGTTGTTGTTCTACTTGGTAAAATAGTTGTTGTTGTTGTTGTCTTTGGTATTGTAGTTGTTGTTGTCTTATTTGGTACTGTCTCTGATCTAGATGTTGTTGTTGTAGAACTTGATATTGTTTTAGATTGAGTCGTTGTTGTTGTTCGAGTTGTAGTTGTTGCTGATATGGAAGATCAAGTCTTTGTTGTTGTTTTATTTGATATTGATATAGTTGAAACCTCTCTTGATATTGTTCCCTTATAAATGAGTGTTGTTGGGAACATTGTCTGTCATATAATCTGTGTCTATCTATTATATGATCATATTCTAGTTTTTGACTTTCAATATATTGAATTCCCCAGTAATCGTTATTAAAGGCACAATATTGGCAATATTCCCCTTTAGTGGTAGAGCAACGGCAACCCTTGTATTTCTTGAATATGATTTTACCAAAATAATAATAAAAAATGCTACTGACAACAACAAATAAAAAAATACAAAATAATAAAATATTAAACATTTTTGATAAAAATTTAATTATTTAAAATAAAATAAAATAAAATAAAATAAAATAAATTAAAATGTATATAAGTGTAAAAATAAAAATTATATGATATAATGAATAAATGAAAAAAAATATATAAGCTGGATGTAAAAAAATGTGTGTGAGTGAACGAAAGCTTTAATTTTAATAAATGAAAAAAAAAAAATTTAAAAAATTTTTAAAATTACAAAAAAAAAAATAAAATAAAAAATAATCAATTGTTTAATATAATGTTTTATTAAATTATTATAATTTATATTTTATAGCTATATAGATTTTATTTTATTTTATAGTTTTAAATTGTGAATTATAATTTAATCTCTATTTTTATTTGAAAATTTCAATAAATTCTCTCTTAATTGATATCCAGAATACCTAGCTAAATGTATAAAAAAGATATATAAAAAAAAGATTAATTAATTTCAAATATTAATTCTATTGAGTTTATTATTTTTAATATATAGATAACTATTATTTATTAGTTAAAAATAACATAAAAGTGTATTTTTAATTTTCTTTTATTTTAATTTTATTAATTATTTTTTTTATTTATTTTTGAACTTTGATTCCACAATTATTAAAAAAACTTTATTTTCTTTTTCTCTTTCTTCTCTTTTATCTTCTTTCTTTTTTGTTTTTATATTTTCTCTTCTTTAGTTGTGTATCATTAAAATTAATTAAAGTATTCTTTTATATATTTAAAACAAAAATATTTATTACATATTTTATTTTAATTTTTTTTAAATTATATAAATAAAACATTGAGAACATTATAAGAATAATTATTTAATTTACACATTTTATTATAAAAGAATTATTACATTCATTTATTAGATATTTTTATTTTGAAATATATTAAAAAATACCCTTTTTAAATAATTAAAATATTTTTTTTAATTTTTTCACCCATTTCCCACTGCATATTATATATTTCTCTCATTTATAATTTAATAAAAACCCTTTTTCTCTATTAGATAATAAACATCAATCACATTATATTTATTATTATTTTTTAAATAATAAAATAATATTTAAATAATAAAAATTATTTTTTTATTTTAAATTTATTCTTTAAAAATTACACCCTTCAGTTCTTTAATAACCAGATTACTTATTTTTTCAGTTATAATAATGTTTCATATACTTCTTATTTTCTTTATTTCATAATAAACCCATCACATTTTTTCAACTCTATAGAAAAGAGTTTAAAAAAAGATAATTTCGTTAGTGATTCAAGTAGTGAATTAAATGTTGTAATAGGTGATGGTAGGGAGAATGGTACATCTTGTGGTAATATAGTTAGGGCAAATTATAAAGTAATTGTAGTACAAAATCCAATAAATTAAAATGATAATATTGCATAATAAATATATATATTTTATATTTAAATATTTAAAGTAAATAACCATACTTTTCACCAGAAGGTTAAAGTATTGATGGTAGAGGAGCAAATGAATTAAGATAAACAACCATTCAAATAAGTTTATCAAATATTGCAGCATATTTTGAACAAGGAAATACTAAAATTATAGGGGCTATGATAATTATAATTTAGTTAGATGTGACTCTGCAACCATCAA